GTTGGGGGTGTTTTGTGAGGAGAAAACTTGGAATTGGGGGTGTTTTGAGAGGCGAAAATGTGGAATTAGGGTATTTTGAGAGGAGAAAGCTCAGAGTTGGGGGTATTTTGAGAGGAGAAAACAGAGTTGGGGGTGTTTTGAGAGGCGAAAACAGAGTTGGGGGTGTTTGGAGAGGAGAAAACTCGGAGCTGTTGCCGTCGGAGCCCCCGAGTCGTGTTTTGAGAGGAGAAAAAAGAGTTGGGGGTGTTTGGAGAGGAGAAAACTCGGAGCTGTTGCCGTCGGAGCCCCCGAGTCGCGTCTGTGCCTGCAGAGCTCGGCTCGGAGGAGGCAGCGGGGAGGATTTGCCTTCCCTTCCCCTGTCTCAGCCCCCAGAGGCCCAGACAAAAAAAGGAACAGCATGTCTTTGAGCCCGGGCGAGGTGGGCATTGTGCGAGTTTCAGACGGGGGACTTCATGGAGCGGAGTGGACACAAAGGCGTGTCTGAGTTCCCCAACCCCAGACGGTGTGATCTGCATTTTAATAGAAGGAAAAAATCAATTAAACAATCTTTGGGAAAATCCTCCTTCCTAGCTCGAGGGCTTCGGGCTAGTTCTGGTTTATTGCAGCTTTTATTTCTCCTGCATCCTGAGGGTAAAATCTGCTGCTTTTTTTCCCCTCCCCTCTCCCTTGGTGTTTTTGGTTTTATTTGGATTCTTACGGAGAACACGGACACGGGGTGTCTTTTCCCTGGAACTGCAGTGAGTTTCTGGTGTAGCTGTTTGGCTTTGAAGGCTGATTTTTTTACACATGGCCACCTTAAATAGTGGCAGCAGCAATCTAATAAAATCTTGAAGTGAAACGTTTGAAGGTTTTCATCCCTGTTTAGGTTTTTCACACGGGGGGGGAGAGATTTCCCCGTAAACCCAGCGGGTGGAATAACTTTATTTTAAGGCTTCCAGCAAAAATCCTCCTGTATTAACATGGATTTGCTGTTGAGTGTTTTCATATTTTTAGTATTTCATCCGAAGATTTGTTATTATTATTATTATTATTATCATTATTATTATTATTGTTGTTGTTGTTGTTTTTACAGCTGCAATTTTTTTGCTTGGGAGGGACCTTGGAGAAGAAATGAGTTTTCTGCCCTCCCTGGTGTGACTTTAGGTGTAGACACAGGTGTGCCCTGTGGGATGTGGAGCTCCTGGGCTGCTGCCTTCATCCCCCCCCCCAGGAGCTTCTGGAGGAGGAGGAGGAGGAGAGGTCAGAGTGGGTTTTGACATCAGGAAGGACAATTGCTGTCAGGGTGTCTAGACAGACCTGATAAGGATATTAGAGGCTCACAAAGAGCAGCATTGTGGAGGGGTCAGGGAATCGGTCACACATGTTGGGTTTGCTGTATTTGTCAGGTAGACAGGGCTGGGGGGGGGAAAGAAGTTGTTTGGGGGGGTGAAGGAAGGAGGGGGGACTACAAATATCTTCATTATCGAGCGCTGGGTTTGGTTAAAACCGAGCTGTGGGTTGGTAAAATTAAGGTTCAACTGTCTGCAGGGAGGTGCTGGTGCATCTTCCTCCTGTCCATGCTGTTTTCTTTTTCAGCCAGTAAAACTTTCCACCCCCGGATTCATCCGTAGGAGCTGTTTGGCTCCTGATCCTTCAGCAGCATCACTTCTTGTTAAGAGAGGTGGTGATGAATCCCGAGCAATTAACGCCCCTAAAGAGGGTTTATTCTCCTGACTGGGGTTTGAACGCTCTCATTTGTAAACTCCTCCTTTTACAAACACTCCCCTCACGAACCAGGGAAGGGTTGGAAGGCAGATTTGTTGTAAAGGAGCTGTGATGAACCATCACTTCCATCCATCTCTGGTAATGAATGTCTGAGTGTGCCAGACACTAATCAATACAGCAAGGCTTTAATATCAGCCTTGCCCTCAGAGCCAGAGCCAGTGATTTATCATTGTTGCTCCTCTCTGCTGGCCTGTGAAAAGTCTCACTCTTGCCTTTCTGGGTGTTTTACTTACTCTTAAATCTTGTTACACCGCCGTGGTTTTGTCCCTACAGGTGTGAAAGGTGTTTTTTTTTTCCCTCTGTAAAAAAACCCACTCGTGCTGATAACACAGAAAAATGACACTCAGGCACTGCTCATGTTTATATAGAGGAGGGGTAGGATGGTGTGGCAGTTTGAGCCACATTAGAAATCTAAAATCCGATTTCCAGGCTCCCTTCCCACCTTTGGGGGAGGCCAAAACCTCAAATTCTTTCGACTGCCTTTAATTTTTAATTTTTAACCTCGGGGGGGGGGAACGCAAGGTTTGAAGTGAAAACAGCTGATCTGCACTCCTTGGCCTGAAGTTTGCAAGCAGGAAAAATAAAAGCCCGAGAATTGCTTCAAAGAGCAGCTCGTGGCTCTTGATCAGCAAGCCTGAACCCGAATTAGAGGTAACTTGGTCGTTCAGGAATATTTTGAGGCGTCCTTTGATGGTTTGGTGGCTCTTCTGTCGCTGTTTCTGCCTCAGAACCGTGAGAACAACGGCAGGGGTTGGTGAGACACAGGCCTGGAGATGAGGTGTGAGAGCACATGGCTCCTTCTGCCCTCAGGGAGCAGGAGGCACCTGGAGAATCATGGAATCATGGAATGGTCTGGGTTGGAAGGGACCTTAAAGCTCATCCAGTTCCAACCCGCTGCCATGGGCAGGGATGTTCAAGGTCCTGCTGGAAAAGTGCCTCCTGCCGTAGCCTGGCTCCTAAATTTTGGGCTCAGCTGATGATTTAGTTTGTGAGCATTTTTCCCTCACGCCTCAGGCTGTGTGGGTTTGTCCTTGAGTTCTTGGAAATTTGGGTTTGGTGGCTCTGAAAGGTTCAATTCCGCGGTACCAGATGAAAAAAACGTCCAACTGGAGCTTTACTGGTGGGACTGGAGTGTCTGGGAGAAGCATCCAGAACCCAGGGGAGCTCCCAGTGTTGGGATCAGACAGTGCTTTCCAGTCAGGAATGCTGGGGGCAAAGAAACCACCCTTCTCTCTGGTTTTAAAGTCCTTGCAAGGTATCAAACTGACACTTTGTGTTTTAAAGGGTTTAAAGGAAATTGGCTCCGTTGATTGCCAGGGTATTTGGGATGTTTTCATGTCACAGAGGGAGAAATAATTCACTGTGTGAGTTGAGTCACCAGTGCTGTCACCCAGCCCTGAGAGCTCTTTATCTGGCAAATGTGAATTTACTCTCCAGGCCAGCATGGATGATGGATCTGATCCTTCCAGTTCTGCCTTCTCCACGGAGTCACTCCTTGGAAAAAAAAACCAAGAAAAGCAGGGATTATGACTCTCTCCCTCTATAAATAACGGAGCCAACCTTTCCTTGGAGTGTGGGTGTTGCTGATAACTATTGTCAGTTAAATGTTGATGTCTTTGTTCACACACATCAGAGCCCAACAAACGGTCCTGTGGGTGGAACTGTTAACACAGGTGGAGAGATGCCTTTGTTGTTCCCATTATGGGTTTGGGGTTTTTTTTTTCACAGTTTTAGCTGTAAACTCCCTCCAGGTGCTGTTTACAAGTTTATACAACCCGGTGTGAACTGATGTGAGTCTCTCGCTCTGCCATTAAACCTTCCAGAAGTAAATCCTGTGCTCATCTCTTGTCTGACCACCTTGGGTTTTTGTTGCTTTCCCGGTGTCTTTAGGAGCTGGAGAAGCTGGGCCTGCGGGATGACGTGGATCTGCACGTCTACGAGGTCCCTGTTGAATACCAGACAGTGCAACGACTCATTCCCGCCCTGTGGAAGAAGCACAGCCCCCAAGTGAGTGAGTAAAGGCAGGAAAACCACCCAGCAAAGGGTTGAAACCTACAGTGAGCATCATGTGAAGTCCCAATTTTAGTGTCTTCTCTCAGACTGGTGGTCCCCGTGTGGACCTTTTCATCTTTTGTCGTGAGAACATGTGAATTTGTAGGGTTTTACAGCTCAGAGTGCTCCAATTCCTGGGAGCAGTCGGTGTGAAGAGGCCACTGCAAAGGGCTGTCTAGACAGCCCGTGGTTGGTCTGTGCCACCTGGGCTCCTCCAGCAGCTGTGAACGTGCCAGCGCTGGTTTTTACCCTGATTAAATCCCAATTTGGGTCAGGAGGGGGTGAAACAAGAATTGTGCTGTACTGAACCCCTGATAAAGTGCCCAGTGCTCCTGGAAGAACTCCTGTAACAGCTCCAGCATGAACTGGGAATAGAATCGTGGAATCACAGGATGGTTTGGGTTGGAAGGGCCTTAAGTGTCATCCAGTCCCACCTTCTGCCATGGACAGGGACACCTCCCATTATCTCAGGTTGTTCCTTTGATCCAACCTGGCCTTGGACACTTCCAGGGATGGGGCTTCTCTGGGCCACCTGTGCCAGGGCCTCACCACCCTCCCAGGGAAGGATTTCTTCCCAGTATCCCATCTATCCCTGCCATCTGGGATGGAAAAGCCCTCTGGCATCACAGAGTCCAACCTATGACCAGTCACCACCTCGTCACCCACAGAAGAGCTCTGAGTGCCACATGCAGTGCCCTGGGCAGGGATCACGGATATCCCGAGTTTGGAAGGCTCCCACAAGGATCAGGCCGTCGGTTTCCCACCGTTTTGGGGTTGATCCAGCTCGTTTCTTTTCCCTTGCAGCTGGTGGTTCACGTGGGAGTGTCGGGCATGGCCACGACCGTCACCCTGGAGAAGTGTGGCCACAACGTGGGTTACAAAGGGTTGGACAACTGTCGGTTCTGCCCGGGCTCCCAGTGCTGCGTGGAGGGTGGTCCAGAGTGCATCGACTCCATCATTGACATGGACACAGTTTGCAAGAGGGTCTCGGCGCTGGGGCTGGACGTGGCCGTCACCATCTCCAAGGACGCCGGCAGGTACGGGGTGCCAGCAATCCATGGGGACAGTGTGTGGAGTCATGGAATCCTGGAATGGCTTGGGTTGGAAGGGGGGTCTTAATCTCATCCAGTCCCACCCCCTGCCACGGGCAGGGACGCCTCCCACTAGCCCAGGTTGCTCCAACCTGGCCTCGGACACTCCCAGGGATGGGGCAGCCACAGCTTCTCTGGGAAATCCATCCCAGTCCCTCCCCACCCTCACAGGGAGGAATTCCTTCCCAATACCCCATCTAACCCTGTGAAGCCATTCCCTGTGTGCTGTCCCTCCATCCCTTGTCCAAAATCCCTCTCCAGCTCTCCTGGAACCCCTTTAAGCCCTGGAAATTTGGTCACATCTTAACACCATCATATCGCCACGTTCATGGAATCAGAGAATCCCAGAGTGGTTTGGGTTGGAAGGGACCTTAAAGCCCATCCAGTCCCACCCCCTGCCATGGGCAGGGACACCTTCCACTAGCCCAGGTTGCTCCAAGCCCCATCCAAGCTGACCTTGGACACTTCCAGGGGTGGGGCAGCCACCACTTCACGTGAACATGTCCCTTGTGTTCCCTTCGTGCTCAACTCTTGAGGCCCCTACAGTTCACACACTTGTCATGGAATCACAGGGTTGGAAAAGCCCTCAAAGATCATCAATTCCAACCATTCCCCCAGCTCTACCAAGGCCACCACATGTCCCCAAGTGCCCCATCCACACAGCTTTTGAGGTCTCCCACACCTCACTTCTCACAGGGTTGGCAACACCCCCTGTTTTTTGGTGGTCACCCAAACATCAGGGATATAAAAAACCAGTTCTTCATGGGGGGTTTTTTTGTCTTAGATTTAATTAGAACAATCCCAGACTCACAATTCCAGGCTTGTATTCCACTCTATCCCACTAAATCCCGCTGTTGTGCTGATCCACAAACGGCTCGTCCTGGCCTGTATTTGTGTGATTTTTTTGGGGTAAATAATCCCTCTTTTTGCGTTTCAGGTACCTCTGTGACTTCACTTACTACACCTCCTTGTACCAGAGCCGTGGGAGGTCGGCGTTTGTCCACGTCCCTCCGCTGGGAAAACCTTATTCCGCGGAACAGCTGGGCCGGGCCCTCCAGGCCATCATAGAGGAAATGCTGGATCTCTTGGAGCACTCCGAGGGCAAAATCAACTGTCAGCACGAACACTGAGCGTGGGCAGGGAGGCCATCCTGGTGTTGCACTTCCGAAATTTTCCCCTGTTGCTGAAGTACTGGGGGGGAAAAAAAAAAAAACCACAAAACAAAAAAACAAAACCCGGGGCTGAGACGTTCCAGAATTGGAGATTCCAAAAAAAAAAAAAACCTGAACAAACAAACAAAAAAAACCAACAACAAAAAAAGGAAAATTCCTCTTCTAGAAATGGACTTTTTTTTTTTTTTTTTGTCGAACCTGTGGGTTTCAGCCTTGGCAACAAAGGATTCAAACTCTCTTCTTTCAAGACACCTCGTTCCTGAGTGACTGAAGTGTGTGTGTGTGTGCTGGGAGCTTCCCTGTCAGCCAGGTGACGGAATCCGGCACGGATATGGGAAGTTCCTCACCTGGACTTGGCCTTCAGGTGCAGGGAATGGATAACCCAGCCCTCTACTGGCTTGTCTTTGAGTTGAAAGGTTTGCTTTCAGTCAGTTTTGGGGTTTCTTTCCCCCCCCTTCTTTGACCCAAATTAGAAGGTAAAAGTACACCTGGAAAGAGTTGGAATGGCGTGGGACTGCCTTGGAGAAGAGTTTGGTGGGGGATGAGGAGTCTCCAATTGCTTTGCTGAAATGGGGAATTATTTTAGGCACTGACTCCTCACCCCACACCCTCCAAACATCAGTGGGGTCTCTGTGATGTGCTGGTTCAGTGTAGCTGCAGGTAGAAGGGCTCTATTTGGGTTCCTTTGGCCTGGAGCAGGATTTGGGTTTTTTGGGGCCAAACTCTCGCCAAATATTCCCAAATATCTTCTTCTTTTTTTTTTTTCCTGGCTCCCTCTTGGCCACCTTCCTCCCTCAAGTCAACCTCAAGGGGACCTCCTGCACCGAACACCTCGTGAGTGTCCAAAATGAACCATCAGTGGTTAAAGAGCTTTGCTAAAGGCCACTTTCCCCACGGGACATCTTTATCCCGGCCTCTTGGTGCTCCCTGTTTGGTTTTAAGGCAGAGGTTGAGTAATTTATAACTTCCTTAGTTACAAATTTTCCCCCCCCTCGTTCCAGCGATGTTTAACCCAAATCCCGAGTCGCCGCCTCTGGTTTAGAGGAGGCGTCAAAATGCAGATTAAAAAGACGTCCTGTCAAATCTAATCCCAAACCTCCAACCTCTTCCCACCGCCTGGAAAGCCGAGGCAGTGGTTTGGAAACAAGGAATTTTGCTTTGGGTGAGGATTCCAGGCTCTTTCCCCCCCTCTTCCAGCGGGAGGCTCCGAAGTGCTGCTGCTTGTGTGGACTTTCCCAGGAATTCTCTTTTGGGGAAGGGCCACATGCAGGATCCGAGCAGGGCTTGAAAAGTGGGTGATGCCTGCTGGTCACGTGTGGAGATTTTGCTGCCAAATCACGAGATTCCAACAGAAACCAGAGGATGTTGCAGCAGGAACAGACTCCAGATTGGTGGTTGAGGACCAGTCGAGCTCCTCGAGGAGCCTTTGAAATGAAAGAAGTCTGTGATTTGATCAGTACTTTTACAAATATATATATATATATATATATAAATCAACTTTTTGAAACGTTTTAAAACCCCCTTATTTTAGTTTTTCCAACGCTGACTGGCTCTGTTATCGTATCTCTCAGTGAGAGCTGCCCTGGACTTGCTGTTTGCCAGGAAAAAATAGGATGGCAAAGGACAAAACCACTCCTTGTAACCCGAGAGAGAGAGAGGACAAAGACTTTTCCAGCTGCAAGAACTCTCAAGGGGGCACCTGTGGATGAAGAGCTTTGGGTAGACCCAGGGAAATTCCCTCTGTTTTCCCTCTCCAGGCTCAATCAAAGGAATTCTCCTTCCAATGGAAATATTCTTCCCCTTCAGATCCGAGGTAGCACTTGTCAGACTTTTCTGATTAGTAATTTATTCTATTTAATATTTTGTTGAAATCTTCGTGGTTTGATGCATTTTATTTTTATTTTTTTTGGTGATTAGTTGAGCTACTTATCCCGTAGGTTTATCCCATTGTTGGTGGGAAGTCTTCCTCCTGGGTGTTTCTTAGCTGCTAAACTTGGGAAAGAGGAGTATCCACGTATTCCAGGAGCTTTGGTGATGGAGCAATTCCCAGTTAAACTATTTAATTTTCCCTGTAGCTGTGGATAAAATGGGAGGGGAGGATCAACAGGTTAGTGAGGCGACAACAGAATTCCAAGCGTGGAGTTGGAGCAGGAGCGGGAAGGGCTGGTTGGAGCTGAGCTGGGTGGGCTCCGTGGGGGATCAGTGGGATCCAGGTGAGGTGTTCCCTGTCTGTCCATGTCTCCTGGGTGTTCCCACACCCTTTGGAGCCTCGGAGATCCCGCTGGTGGCTCCGAATCCGCCGGCAGGGAGCACAGACAGCAGCAGTTCCGTGGGAAGAGCTTCCCACACATCCTGTTCAACACCTCTAAATATTCCTGGTTTGGGGGCTCTCTGCTATTCCAGGGGAAAATCCGGAGCCAGTTTCCGTGCCTGCTGCTGTCTGAGGACCCCAGTGCTTGGTCTTGGATGTGTCAGCGTTAAAAATCCCATTTTTTTTTTTTGGGAACAGTTCGCTCCGAGCTCTGCTCTTGTGAAGCTCCACGGGATCAGTTCCTTTAGGAAACATAATTTATTTTATACTCTTTTTTTAGGGTGGTTTTTTTTTTTTTTGAGAATTAGTCCTGAGGCTGTGTTTGTAAAGGGTGTTGTGGTCATAGAGAAATTTCCTGTAGCGAAAACTTGGGGGGCAAAAATGGCATTAAACCAATTTTATTTCATCTGACCTAAATTAAATACTATTTTTTTGGGGGGGAGGGGGAGAGGGTGGGGGGTTTCAGAGCTTTTTTTGTTGAATTCACCAAGCTTTTCCTCTAGGTGCATATATTTTTCTTTGGGACTAGGATCTCCAAACTGATGCAGAGCTTCAGTTTGTGTAATCCCATATTCGCTCCCTCTTCCAACTCCTCAACAAATAGGATTTGCTGATTTGCACTGACTGGGAGACCTGTTGCCAAGCCCAAAAAAAACTCGAGGTTTTTCTGCCAGTGAGTGAAAGGGTAGGGAATTCAGCTGGAGTTGTTCATCCCACCCCCACCCCCCCGTGCCTGGGACTTGGAAAATGGGAGAGCCGGTGAAATTTTGGGATCGCGCGACTGCAAAATTGGGGATACGGAGAAACGAGGGCTGAGGATATTTGGTGTGGAAGAGAGAATTTAGGGAGGTTCCACTGGATGGGGGTCTGATGTCATTTATCTGGGACTGGCCAAGGTGTTGGGGAGGTTTGGGGTGACAGTTGGACCGTTCCGGTCGTTAAACGCTGCCGAGGGTTTTGAGGAACTCCAGGTGCTCCTGAACGTCTTAGTTTGGTGGTGCTGCTGTCAGGAGGTGAATTAAACGTGGGGATCTGCTTTATAACCACGGGGGAAAAAGGGAATTGTGAGCTTGGAAGGTTCTTTTCCTTAAGGATTCACGTGGGACTTGATCCTTATGGATCCCTCCCGACCTGAGCGATCCTGGATGTGGTCGGAGGGGTTTTTTTTTTTTACCTGCTGCAGAAGCTGTTTGTGATCCTTTTTGGAGAGAATCTCAAACCCTGGCAGCAGTTCACCTTATCTGGAGTATTCCCCAGCCTGGTTGTTTCCTCCCAGACGTGGGAGAAGGTGGGAAAAGGATGGAAAAGGTCGGGAAGAGGGTTCGAGGTGTCGAGCGGGGTTGTGACATGAGCAGCCAAGAACTGCTGAGCTTCCAGGGTCCTTCCAGGAGGGAGAGACCTGGCTGGGGGTGTTCAGAGTTTCAGACTTCACAAAAGCTCTGCTTTCACCCCGAAAAGGAGGGAATTTTTGGGATAAATGCTCCCTTGGAGGACGGTGGAGGTGGTGTTTTGGTTGGAAAGCTCAGCCCGAAGGCGTTGGGGGATTCCCACAGCAGGGAAAGATTCCTTGAACCAGAGCTCCGAGCTAAGATCGGAATTATCATCTCTGTAGGGTTTGTGCTGTGGAAAGTCAGGTGGAAAAAGGGAACTTTGTGTCCCAACTCACCTGGAATCAGGTGTAGATGTAGCATCCAACCTCTCAAGCAGGCAATATTTAACCCCAAAGGGGATTATTCCAGGTTTTTATTCTGGAATAAAAACCCAGGAGCTTCCAGGCCTGCACAGACAGCACAGGCTCCCAGTGTGTTGTTGGTTTTGGTAGGGAAAAGCCTAAAAAAAAAAGTTTAAAATCCACTGAAGTTTCTCAAATAATCTTGAGTTGAGTTGGAACTGGGTGATCTTTGAGGTCCCTTCCAACCCAAACCATCCTGGAATTCTCTGACCCGTTGCCCTCGTGGGTGGATTTTTTTTTTTTTTAATTTTTTTTTTTTGGGTGTGTGTGAGATGGAGAAAAGGAATTGCAGGAGGAGGAGGAGGAGGAGGAGCTTCTCCAAACCAAAAAAAAAAAAAAAGGGAAAACCCTGAAAATGAGGAGCTCTGTGACTCCCCACTGCCAAAGCTGCAGCAGCGACGACGCTCTGGCCGTGGTGGTTTCCTGGTTTAATTGGTTGTGACTCGGGAATCTTTCTGAATTTCTCCTGGATTTCTGGCTCCAGCAGGTTCTCAGACACAGCTGCTGCAGGAGGGAGTGGTGCTGTCTGAAAGCTGCCTGAAAATCAGGATGTTTAGACATGAAAAGTACTCGGTGTGGGGCTTTTCTTAATTCAGATTTTCAGATTTCTCCCCCCCCCGCCCCACCCACAGACAAAACCATCAGGATTAATTTGTACAGACCCTTTCCCAAAGTAACTTCCTCCCTTTTATCCCCTTCCCTTTAATACTTCATCCAATGATATTTTAATGATTTTAATTTTATTTTAACGATAGGAATTTCAGAGTTGCAAAGGCTCTTTATAACTTTATTGACTTGGATAAATCCCCCCCCGTTGTTGATACCATAAATACTCGTCTTGATGTAGATGGATTTGTTATTTTTGCACCAGAATCCCTAATTTTTCGCAGTATAAAGTGCACTTTTTCTTAAAAAAAAAATACAGAAAACTTGTATTCCTGTCTGATGAGTGTCTTATGTGCTGAAAGTGATATTCTGCCAAAGCTCCAAAGCTGAGGATGTTGTTAATTCTTCGAGGT